GATCTGGGGCTTGTTCGGAGAGGTCGGAGCTGGGGCTGGATTGGGGAGGTGGAGATGGGGATGGTTCGTACTGGGGCTGGTTTGGAGAGGCTGAGCTGGGGCTGGATTGGAGAGGTTGAGCTGGGGCTGGATTGGGGAGGTCGGAGCTGGGGCTGGTTTGGAGAGGTCAGAGCTGGGGCTGCTTTGGAGAGGTCCGAGCTGGGGCTGCTTTGGGGAGGTCGGAGCTGGGGCTGGTTCGGAGAGGTGGAGCTGGGGCTGCTTTGGAAAGTTCGGAGCTGGGGCTGGTTTGGGGAGGTCAGAGCTGGGGCTGGTTTGGAGAGGTCAGAACTGGGGGTGCTTTGGAGAGGTCAGAGCTGGGGGTGCTTTGGAGAGGTCGGAGCTGGGGATGGTTTGGAGAGGTCAGAACTGGGGGTGCTTTGGAGAGGTCGCAGCTCAGTGCCAGGTCCCTCTCCAGGGCTCTGTCTCCTGCCCTGGGGAGCCCATCTGCAAGAAGCTGCTGATAGCAAGGTGTGAGCAGCAGAGAATCCTGCTCCGTGTGCTGGTTAGGGGTTCCTCGCTGTCCCAGCAGCCTGGCCGGAGGGTTTCGCTGGAAAATGAAAGGATTTGTGTTGTGTTTAAACGCAGCTGTTCCTGCCTCTCCCCTGCGAGGCTCTGTCGCAGCCCAAGATCTCCCCCGGCTTTGTGTGCTGAAGAGACCCAGCAGCAAGTTCTTCTCCCAAAATGATGGAAAATGAAGTGTTCCTGTCATTCACGTTCTACAGCACGATTCTGATTTTAAAAATGTATGTCGTTGCCATCATTACCGGCCAAGTGAGACTCAGAAAGAAGGTAAGATCTAGTTTCGTTTTCCTTCTCCTCCCTTTCTGGCTCTTTGCTTGGGTTTCTGTGATTTTGCTTTCTTCTTTTATTCCTCTAAAGTTCAGCAAAATTTTCCTGAAGCAAGCTGAGTTTTCTTTGACTTCAGCTGAAAGCAAAACTTTTTTGTTTCATAGCTGCAGCAGATAAATATCTCACATCTCTTTGACCCTTTCTGTTTGTTTCTACCATCTGTAGCTAGATGTTTATGATTTTGGAAACCTAATCTAAATAATAATCAGATCTAAAATGCCAAGCAGGTGAGATGCTTCTAGAAAGAGTCTGTTTACAATTAATTTGCAGGGTCTGGGAAAAAAAAGGAGAAGGGAAAAAACAAAGTTTAAGAAGAAATCATTGCAATGGTCTTTTTTCTTGTGGTGTAGCAGAAAGTTTTTGGGCTTTTGGAGGCTGACTGGTTTAGGGAATGCTCCAGGAGAGCAGCAAGTCATGGGCAATAAAACAATAGCTGGAGGAGATGATTCTTGGTTGGGGAGAAAAATACAGGGAGGACCAGCTGCTGTCAGGAGTTGGGGCCCACTGGACTTTTACTACCCCAGCTCCTGATAAAACCCAGCTTTCTGTACAGTCTATTTTAAAGTACTTGAGTTTCTGACTGCATCAGTGGAGAGGGAAGGAGACATTACAATGATGCCACCCTGTGCTGTGGCATCATTGTGACTGATGAATTGTCTTCTCCCCTTGTGATTCTAAATGATGCTCCAGCCCTGGGACACTTTGGGCTTGTACCATAATTTTAAAAAGCACCAGAGCCCTTTCCAGGCTATAAAATGAAGCTGTCAGGTGTAGCCAGGTTCCTGAGGAACAGCTTCTGAGCATAGGTGAGGAGCTCACACAAATAATTTTCATTTTTAACTTTATTAGTGTAGGATCCCATTTCCCTGTGGGAAAGCCACATAGTGTCACTGCCAAAAAGCCAGCCAGGAAATATTCTCTAATCTGTCAGTCCTGGTTATCTTTTGGAGGCTGCATTGTGTCTGCAAGCTCTCTGCCAGCAGCGGTGGCTGGAAAATCTCCTCTAAATGGGTTTCATGGGAAGAAGTGGATGGGGGTGAGGTGAGAGCTCCCTTGAAACCCTCATTTGGGACCTGCTCAGCAGGCAGCACTGGGATTTTTGGACAAGAAAAACTCCTGAGGAGGTGCAGGACAGCACGCATGGAAATGCAGTGACCTTCGTTTTTATGAAGAGCGGTAACAAATTTGGGCAGGTAAAATCCCCTCAGGACTTCAAGATTAGGGGCAAATCTTCCGCCTGTGGGGTTCCTGAAGGCTGTGAGCAGGCAGGGACTGTCTCTGGCTGTCTCTTCCAGGCATTTGCAAACCCAGAGGACGCCCTGCGCAATGGGGGCCTGCAGTTCTACCGCCAGGACCCTGACGTGGAGCGGTGCCGCAGGTGAGCGGGGCCAGCGTTCCCAGTGCCACCATTCCCTCTCCTCTGGTGTCACCATTCCCAGTCCCACCATTCCCTCTGGTGTCACCATTCCCAGTCCCACCATTACCTCTGCACCAGCTGCTGGCAAACAAGAAGTGGGAGCTTAAAGGACTCACTAATTGAGTCATTTTCTAGATGGTCAGACTGCCTCGAGCTCTGCTGTGGGACCCTGCTCACGAGAGCAGTTTAATCTTTAGCATGGTGTGCACTGGAGCGAGGGCAAGGGAAGGATCTGGGTTTGCATTCAGCATCCAACTCTGATTACCTCTTTTCTAGGTGCTCAAAGTCCTACAGATTCCCAATGTCTCATCCCATACCCACACTCTGTGTGCTCTGGACAGGCAGCAGAGTGACTGGTCCCTGTCACTTTTGGGGGATTTGGGAAAAGGCTGAACAGGATTACAATAACTTTTACCTCTCTGATTGGGCACACTCTGAATGTTGCCCCTCTTCTGTGAGAATCACAGTTTCTCAGAGGTAAATCACGGGGTTATTCAGCCCTGAGCTTGATTTGCTGTCCCCCTTACCAAAGGAAGTGCCTCAAGTTCTGGATTGCTGATGATGTGCAGGAAAGGGGTTGGAGTTGTGCCCTGCTGTCCTTGAACGCTGGGGACCTCACTGATCATGTCCCCCCAGCATTTGCTTTAGAAAACATCCAGTGCCACCCCCAATTGCTGGGCTGCCAGGGGGAGGAGGAGGATGGAAAATGAGCTGTTTCCTTCCTAGCAAAAATAAAATAATAGCAGAAATAATAATCATAATCTTCTTTTGATTAGTCAGGATAAACAAGCTTCCATAAAAATAAATAACTGGAGCTGCAGCAAAAACCTGGGGCAGCCTGGGATCTGACTTGGGCAGCTGGAGCTCTCAGAGCCCGTCCTTGCTGATGGATTTGCAGCCCTGGAGGAGACACATTCAATCCAAAGTGTTTCCCCAGAGCAAGGGCAATGTCAGCTTCTCATCTCAGACTGCCTGGAGGGGAGCAGAGCCAGGGGTCTGTGCAGGGCAGGACAGAGCAGGGCAGGATGTGTACCCTGTGCCTCTGGCTGCCTCACAGCTCTCTCTTTTCTCCTCCTCCTTCTTCCATTTGTCCTCCCAGCCCTGCTGAACCCCCAGGTCCTTGTTCAGAGGATGGTGCCTGAGGGAGGAGAGGCACAACCTCACTCATGGCCTGACCAGATCCTGTCTCATTAGCACTGTGGGTGCTGGCAATGATGCAGTGACACCCAGGCAGCTGCTTGTTCAGCTGGAGCACAGGGCTTGGCTCCATCAGTGCTGATGTGTCACCACATGGCCACAGCATCCCCTCCAGCCCCTTGGGCCACTCCTCCCCAGTCCCCCCAGTCCCCTTTAGGTGCTTTTATGGAGAGTGGTGAAGCCACAGCCCCTCCATGCTGTGATTTCTCCACTGCAGAAGCTGTGCTCTGGATCTCCTTTTGTTGTGTAGTGTGGCTACATCTGGGGCCATGCCGTGCTGGCACCACACCAGTTTTGAGCTTTTTGCAGCTTCCCAGGGTCTGTGTTTTGCTCTGTTTATTTGAAAGCTCCAACCCTGGAGCTGTCATCTGCTGTGCCAAAGGCGTCCCAGTCACGGAGAGAAAGTTTCAGGGGCTCAGCATCCCAAGGGAGAGACACAGGGTGTGAAATTCTCCTGTGTGTAGGGGAGAACTGACACTTTTTGGGGCTGTGTCTGCCCATCCCATGGGGGAAAGGCCCAACAGCACCTAGGAATGGGTAGAAGGAATCAGAAAAAACAGGGAAACAACCTCATCTCGCTTTTCAGGGCCCACCGCAACGACATGGAGAACATCTTTCCCTTCCTCTTCCTCGGAGCCATCTACTCTCTGCTGGATCCCAGTCCCACCGTGGCCAGGATCCACTTCCTCATCTTCTGTGTGGGAAGGATCGTGCACACCATTGCCTACCTGCTGCAGCTGAGGGCTCCCACCCGCTCCGTGGCCTACGGCGTGGCCCAGCTGCCCTGCTTCTCCATGGCCCTTCAGATCCTGCTGGCCACCACCCCACACTGGTAACAGCCAGGGAGAGCCAGCACCCAAACCCCCTCACCCTGACTCTGCTGGGCCCCTGGAGTGGGAGAGAGTGAGAGAGAATGAGTGTGTGTGTGTGAGTGTGTGTGTGAGATGCCAGCAGGGAGGTCACCTGCACCCTGAGGATGTTCAGTGCAGCCTTGATGCCATCAGGATTTGTCAGAGGAGGCACCAGAGAGCAGGGAAATGCAGGAAGGGAGGTTTCTGTCTCTCCTGCTGAGGATGAGAGGTGGAAAGCACATGGACTACTCCTTGAGGAATGGGGTCATTGAAGGGAAGGTTTTCTGTGTTTGGAACTGTGACTGTGGCCTTTTCCTCCTGGTCATGGATATCCCATGAATCAGACAGGGATCCCACAAAGTCTCACAAAGGGATCCCATGAATCATGAGGGTGCCACAAAGTCTCTTAGTCAGCAGATGTGGTTGGTAGCAGAGGTTATAAAGCAGCCTCCCTTCTCCTGCCCAGCCACGTGCATCTCTGGGAATGTCAGTCCCTTAGCACTTAGTCCCTTAGGTTCCCTCTCCACCAAGGAGCACAGGAGGCTGGTGCCTTCCAGGCAGGCTGACAGGGAAGTCAGAACCCCAGGGGTGATGTTGTGAAGCCATTGGAGCATTCAGTGCTCCCAGTGCCACCTTGTGTGACACCATAGCCCACAGCTCCCTGCCAGGAGCCCCAGTGCAGCAGGACCTGGAGCTCCTGGCAGCTCCCAGCCAGCACAGCTGAGGCTTTTCCATCTCAGCCTCATCACAGCAGGATGCAGAGTGACATGCCTGGAGGAGCCAGCAGGAATCCTTTACCCTGGACACACAGCCTGAACACATTTGCCGGACACAAAGTTCTGGGGCTTCTGGAATGTCTGAAATGCTGGCACAAAACGGGGGCTTTGCAGACAGGGTTTTCTCCCAAAGGGCAGTCTAGTCCACATGCCACTAATACCTGAAAATGCCCCAGAGCATCAGACTGAGTTTCTCACCCCCCCCGTTTGTAGCCTTTCTCTTGCTGTTGCTATTTGGGAAATGTGCCCTGATTGCCTTGGGGGAGTTTTCTTTCAGCAGCTTCCTGCTGTCCACTGCTGCCTTTCACAGCCTGGAGCAGCTGGTGTTTGCAGAAAGCTCTGGAAATGAGCAGAGGGGCTTTGCAGGGAGCATTGCTGATCTGCAGGGTCACCCAAAAGTGTTGGGGAGGAGAGGCAGGGACCAGGGCACTGCATGGTGACAAGGGCCCGTGGGCTGCTCTGCCCCACAGCTGTCCTCAGGTGCCAGCAGCAGCAGAAATGGAGCATCCCTCTGGAGGAGAAGGAGGAGGAAACCTCTGCTCTTCAGTGCCTCCTCCCTCCTCTGAGGGCAGCACAGAGTCTGAATAGCATCACAGGGGCAGGCCAGAATGAGTAGAAAATAAATTCCCCTCCCACCTGTCCCATGCACTAAGGCTGAAATTCCCCTCCCACCTGTCCTGTGCCCTGAGTCTGTTCCCTTGACTCTGCTTTGCTCAGAGATCTCTTGCTGAGCCCTCACTGAGCACTGGGGACACACCTGCTCACACTGGGGACACACCTGCTCACACTGATGCTCAGCCTTTGCCCAGCTCAGGTAGAGGTTTCTGTACCAGTAACTCCATCCCAGAGCAGTTGTGGCCTCAGGCTGAGCTGTGTGGTGAAGGTTGGGGTGGAATTCTTTGCTCTCCCACTGCGAGGAAGGTGGGCAGGATTGCAGGTTCAGCACTTCATTCTTGGCCAATCCTTCCCACAGATATTTGGGTGACACAGACCCCTCTTAACAAATCTTTTCTGCCTCACGTGGTGCACAAGGTCTTGCACTGCTGTATGTTTCTCTGCTGCTGCACATGCATCCTGGTGGCAGGAAGCAAATATTCCCAATAAAAACAAATCATTGTGCTCTGATACATCCTTCCTTGGGGAGCAGCAGATGCAGCTGGGCAGCAGCTGGGCCCAGCCCCAGCAGGATGGATCTCAGCAGGATGTTAAACCCCACTGCAAAGCCTGGAGTGTCCTGGGACTTCTAGAGACATCCCTTTCCTCTGCACTCACCTGCCCTGAAGAGGAACCTCTTTTCCAGGTGTGCACTATTTGTGCTGATCCTTTAAATCCAGCAGAGCTGGGAATTACAAGCAGCTCTGCTCACTTTTCCTTCCCTGAGTAGCAAGTTGTTACAAAGCTTGGTGTTCACCCCAAAATCCTGGAGGGCTGGAGAAGCTCAGGTAAGAGGTAGTTGCTCTTCTTTCTCTTCTTAGGACTCATAAAGGAGCTGCTTGTGTTTTCCAAGACAAGTAGCCCCCTTTTTTTTTTTGCACTAGGTTGCTGGGAAACAAATGCTTCATTTCTCTGGTTTTCACGTATTTTCTAAAATTGGTGGTGGTGGTTGGGAGGTGCTGCCCACTGGGTTGCTGGGAAACAAACGCTTCATTTCTCCGGTTTTCCCCTATTTTTTTAAAGTTGTTGATGACTGGGAGGCTGCCCTGTTAGTGTCTGTGTTAGTTTCATAAAATGGCTCCACTTGGTTATTTTCTTACCCTGTTTGTTTTCAAATGAGAAAGGCAGTGGTTTTATAAAATGGACTCTCTCCCAGTACATGTTGCTGAGGTTGGAGGTGTGGCTGGGATGGAGATTTTGCCCCAGGAAGGAAGAAGGGAGGCTCCAGAAGCCCCTTCCAACCCCAGATCTGCCAGCTGCTTCTGCCTCCTCTCAGCTGCCTGTCCAGGCCCAGAGGCTGATGCCCTGCTCAGGGAACCTAAGGTTACATGCAAAGCCCTGCTTTCTCCTTTTTTATTAAAAAAAAAATAAACTCTGCTTACTGGCTGCAGGGAAAGGCTTGGGAATGTGAACTCTCCTGGCTCAAAAAAAAAAAAAAAAACAAACACAAAAAGCCTGCAAGGCAAACTTAAGAGAGGCCCAAGCATTGCACTTATTTTGAAGTGTTGTGGAAGTTTGGGGGGGAAAAAAACCAGACTGGGCTCAGTTGCTGGAGCAGCACCAGTCCCATCAGGGCTCTCCTGGGACAAGGTGATCAGAGCCACTGGCTCTCCCCTGGACACTGCCAATGATTGCTGCATGTGAGAGGCATTCCTGCCTTTTCCCAATTAATATCTATAGCCCTGAGATCCCAAACTCCTGCTCTGGCATCAGTGTAGGCAAAGGATATGCCCAGTGTGTCCTGCTGCTCCAGGAGAGCAAGGACAGTGGCTGCACCCACCAGTCTCTGCATTTTGGGGTGTGCTTTGTATGTCCAACAACTTGTTTTTCACATTTGGCTCAAACAGGAAACAGCAACACTGTGAACCCACCTGGGACTGCAGAACAACAAAACTGGTGCTTAAATGGGTGCAAATTGAGAGAGGAGAAATTTCAGACATTAGGAAGAATTTTTGTACCATTAGGGTGGTGGGACACTGGTACAGGCTGCCCACGGAGGCTGTGGATGCCAGGTTGGATGAGACCCTGAGCAGCTTTGGTCTAATTCCGTCTGTGGGTTGGGAGTAGGTGATCTTTAAGGTCCATTAAGGTGATCCTTAAGGTCCTTTAAGGTGATCTTTAAGGTCCTTTAAGGTGATCTTTAAGGTCCATTCTGCCCCCTTCCGTGGTTCAGTGTGTGAATGTGATTCACACCCAGTACGTGTCTTCCCTCACGGTGTCTGGAGCTGCGAGAAGAGCAAGTGGAGACCCGGCACAGGCTGTTTTCCCTCCCACACTCTTCCAGGTGCTTCAAGCCCCAGGATCCGTCCCACCCCTGAGCACAGCACACGCCTCTCCCATACCTGCCTGCACCTCTCCCGGGTCTCTCTTCATCCACACCGTTCCCTGGTGGGATCTGGACCAAGATTCCTCCTTGGACAGACCTTTAACACAGATCACTCTGCTGCCCTTCCAACATCCCCATTCCCTCTAACAGGTGGGATTTGATTCACAAACCCCCTCATTCCTCTTGAGGAACTGAGATTCCTGCGACTTGTAGAGAGAATGAGAAGAGCCAGCTCTACCAGCATGAAAACTCAGAAGTCTCTGGAGAAGAAAGCAGCAGGGAATGGCCGTTCTCTGGTGCACGAGGATGAGGCTGGCACCGGGAAAACTTTTTCCAGAGGGCGTTTTT